CGTTTGTTTCTTGATAGGAGAAAACAAGAAAGAAGAAAGAAGAAGAGAAAAAAAGAGAAAGAGAGAAGGAAATCACCAAGATTGGTGCACTGTTCCGTTTGCACGGTTCCGATCACGTGCGTGTCAAACTATTTTTCTTCACTGACGAGAGAGTTCAACGACGTTTACAATGTTGCGCCGTGCATACCCACATCGTTTACTTCGACTCGTTTGATGAACACTGACTGAGTAGAGATCAGGGCCTACTTGTGGGTCAGAGTGTGTGGATCCCCACTTCTGCACACCAGTGACGGCTCATGAAGGTAAGTGAAATAAGGAGAAAGAAAAAGAAAGGAAGAAATGAGATAGAATGATGATTGACCGGCTTTGTAAACGTTATCTGGAGGGGATAGGGTTGTTGACAGGGGCGGTGCTAACTGCGACTTCTGTTGCTTTTTTCACTCTTACAATTGCGACGGATGAGATCAGCGATTTAGGTTATCGCTTACGGAATAAGCATAGAAAAGAAAGATTCAATCGATATCTCAGTTAATCAATTAATTAGTACACTATTTGCAGAATTTTAAACTGCAGCTTTTGATCAAAAGTATAAAAGCTCACTCTTAATTTATTATATTTTTGGAAGAGGCGGTAATAAAAGCCAAAAGAAAACTAATAAAATATTAAAAAATATTAAATGTTATATAAATATTATTTTTTAATAAATTATTTTAAATTAATTTTTTATTATATATAAAACATTTACTTCAATGTGTTTTATATTTATAGCAAAGGCTATACTTTTGAGAAATTTAAAGATGCTTTTTTAAATGCAATACTGATTGTAACTACTTTTATGATATAAGACATCCTCTTTAATGTTTTATTATAAATAATTGCATTCATGATTCGAGTTTAGGAAGATTTAACATTGATATCGGACAATCCGTCCCTGCTCTCTCTTGTGCATTCTTCGTTTCTTCTTCGATACTATAAACTGATCATCTGAGTATCTTTCTTGGATACACTGTGTATGAATATATGGCATAGTCCCAGTCCACGTCCCCTCTGATCTTCCCGCTCTCCTTCGCTGACGACTGAATCTCACTCTTTTTTCTATTTTTCTCGTTTTATGCTCTTCTTCCTCTTTCTTTCTCTGTCCTGTTCTCCTTTCTAGCTACTCTCTTCCGTTGTTCCCTCTTTCCTTTTCATACATGCGTGTGTGCTGTGTGCGATTGTATCGGTATAAATACGTATCCACGCCCGCGCATACACGAGTGTATACGCACATTCATACAAAACGCGTATGCATGCGTGCCTGTGTACGACTAGCGGTACTTTACCCGTAAATGTACAAGATACCGTACGATATTTTCCTCTAGAATTGATCGCACATTGCACAAGGTGGCATCGTTCTATAATTATAGCATAAATTTCTGATAAGATTTCATAAGAAACTATCTAGACGTAATGATTATCAAATTGATGCTATATACTTAAAGTATCCATTAGCTAAAACTATCTTGTACCACTGGGAAAAAGACAATGAAAAATATTAAAAGAGAGAAGCAACTGGTTTCTTCAGACTATTTTGAAAGGGATACATAAATTGAATTAAAAACAACACGTATAATATATTTAGCTTATTCGAATAAATCCTTTATCGATATAATTTCATATTTTATTTATATACGAATTCTTGCTTGACTTTTTTAAATAACATTAATTACGTAAAGTCTTGTTCTCAAATAATACCTCAGATAATATTTAGAATAAAAGAAAAATAAATTTAAAAAGAGTTGATAAATGTACTGATATTAAAATAATAGAAAAATGTATAGAATTTTTAATTTCACTCCTTGAATATCATTAAATACAAAATAGAATATAAATAAAGATATTTTAACGGTTCTAAGAATAAATCTAATAAAACAAAGAAAAAAGCCAATAAAGAGTTACTGCAATTAACGGTGCATAAAAATTATTTATTATGAAAAAATTAATATGCAGGTGTTTCGACTGACATTTTCAGTCCTTCACTGCAATATAAGTTAAATTAACAATGAACTATTCCTAATTCATAATATAAACAAAATATTTAAACATGTCATTCATAATAAGATATGATAGATTGTCACGCATTGAGGATGTATCACACGTACAGTCCTTGCAAAAAAATTAATTTGGAAATGTGTTTAATATTTACACTTCAAGTAATCTGTATACAATACATATTAAAGTTGTGTGAATAAGATTACATTTTTATTTATTAACACATTTTTGTCGTTTATTTATTTTATTTGTTATTATATTTATTGTTAAAAATTAGAATTTTAAAATAATAAAAATTTAAATTTTTTTGTATAAGTTCTTTAAATATTCAAAGTAAGTTGTGCATTGCGATTTACTGTTTAGTTACAAAGATATAGAACAAATAAATATTTACTGGGCAAGTTCATATATTGCAATATAACTATACATGAAATCTCTTGAATACATTATGTACGTATATTAAAAAATTGAGATTTTTATCATTTATCTTATTGTATAATACATTTCCATACATTTTTATTCGAGCATCAGCATGTATTTAAAAAATACTACTATTCATTAAAATAACTTATGATCCAGGTAAACCATCACTAAATTTGGCATATTTTTAAATATGAATTAGAATAATCTGTATTTTTTCCATAATTTTGTTATTATTTTGAAAGTATAATGTACAAAACATCTTTAAAAACGTACAGATTTTTGCAATATGATCGTCATGTTACCACGAAGAAGTGAGTTCATGCAAAAAACAACATCTTGCTGGACTTTCCGTTATTTTTTTGTGTAAACTCACTCCTTCGTACTAACATGGCAATCATATTGCAAAAATCTGTGCGTTTTTAATGCGTTACAATTATATCTTATTATGAATTACGTGTTGTAATATTTACATTATTTATATTATGAGTTAGGAACAGCTTATTATTAATTTAGCTTACATTGCATTGAGGAGGACTGAAAATGTCAGTCGTAATATTTGCACATTAGGATGGAGTCCCATGAGATGTATTTACCGCGTATCGCATATAACCGCGTAACCAATCAGAAGCGATCCGCTGTTGTGGTTTCACGTTTTAATGATTATTAATTAGTTACGTGGTTACGTCTCATAGGATTCCACCCTTAGTTTTTTCATAATTAATAATTTTTACACACATTTTCTTTGTTTTATTAAAAGAATAGAATATATTTTATTTTATATAGTAATGTATATTATTGTAGTTTAATATATATTATAGTAATGTATATTATAATAATTTAAACACTTAGAACAACCTTAAGTAACTCAGATCGATAAGAGTAACTTTTTCGATAAATTAGCTCTCTACACCAATGACAAACTATATTAACAAGAGGCATATTGTATTTAATTAGTGATTTACATATTTTTTTGCCTGGCACATATATGTATAATGGGCGCATTCAACGTACTCAATAGTTGAGTAAGCGCTCGCTATTATTGGTGTATTTTTTTTTTACCATTCAATCAGAATTTTAGATCTAGAAGAATATTACATCAATAGCAATGAGCGTTCACTCAATTATTGAGTTTGCTGAATGCAGCCATTATGTACACTTACGCAAAAGATATGAAACAGGTCATTCATGATATAGAAAGATCACTTATTAATTATATATAACTAATATATAATTATATAATATATAATAATATATAATTATATTAACTTAAAGCCCAATTACTTATATATTTTTTAACTTTATATTATTAACGTTTTCGGGATAACTCCGCTTAAATTAATAAAATATTGGATTAAACATCGTAGAAATATTGTAAGATACTAACAAAATTAAATTCTTAAATTTTGTTTATATAATTAACATATAATATTATAGTTCCACAACACCTAAACAAAATATATAATTGTAATATAAAATTCATACTCAAGTTCGAATATTCTAAAATGAGAAATATGTTTAAAAGAAAGATATTGAACGTCGAATTAAACGATGCATTTAGATCACTACACTTCTATAGAACATAGACTTCTATAGAACGCGTGTTTAGGGTAGCTAGACAGATTTCTTGGATTCCCATTTACATCTGTAACCCTTTTCAAAAAATAAAACGATTATTTTTGGTTGTCTCAACAAGAACATAGGAGAATTGGTAAAAAGATGAAATAGTTAATTTAAAAGCAGAATGTGGAAAAATTAAAAAATATAAAATCTATTCATTATTTTAATTTATATGCAGATATACTCTCCAGAATCCAGAGAAATTTGAATAATTTCTCCTATGGTCTTTGGACTTCTCCACAGAACAATGAACAATCTGTAGAAATTTTTATTCATTTAGCTAATTTTTCAACAGATAATATTCATTCATCTTTAATTTGTGTAAAAAAGAATTAATTTTTAAAAATCTTACAAATATAACGATTCCAATAGAAATTCAATGCCTTTTACAATACAATTAGAAAGCAATTTTACTTTCCCTTCGAATAACATAAAAAAAGATTGTTTAGAATTTGTGGGTAAGGAAATAGTTCGGTATTAACTGTGACTCGGTTGGTGCGGACACTTGTACTTTATTTGTTAGACAGAAGTCGAAAGCGTGGTGCATTCGCGTCGACGAGTAAAAAAGGACTGACTTCTCAGATCGTTGCTTGGCTTATAGAATCCTGAATGGGTATAGGTATTAGTCGCATGTGTTGTATTGTACAACAAGGTTCCATATTTCGAAAAGCTGGAAGAAAGATGTGTACATATGTTGACAATATGCAATTCAGTTGAATGAGTGAAAAGGATGTCTCTGACGCTCACATGGGCGATATAATTATTTTAACTTGTAAACATCTAACAATTAAAAAACGATTTAAAAAATATTAGAAAACATAATATACGTATATTAATTGTTTGTTATTCTTTTGATAAGAAAAATATATCTGAGGGCGACGCCGCGCGTACGTGTCGCTACAGTACCCCCCTGCTAGTGATTTGCCTAATCACGAGAAACCGCTCTGAAGTCGGTCCGGGAATCGCACTCGTCTGCCCGATCGTGTGGTTTGCCGTAGAGCGGTCTTGGTCGGCTCCTGGGCGGTTGGTGGGTCGGTCCCCCTTGCTGAATTTTCTGGGTTATCCAGCTCCGATGGCACGGACGGTTGCAATGATGTGCTGGAAGTTGGGGAGTTCTCCAAACGCTGCTCGATTGGTAGCGAGTTAACCTTCTCTGGTTCCTCGTCTTCTGAAATGATGTAGGCGGGCTTCAGCCGATCGATAGACACGGTTACATCCCTACCTCGGATGTGAACCACGAATGTTTTCGGTTTGTGGCTGACCACTTTGTAGGGTCCGTCATACGGTTGCTGCAGGGTTCCTCCAGGTGCGTTGTGGCGCACGAATACTTGGTCCGCCGTACTGAGATCTTTGAACACAAAGGTCCGCCGTTCGCCGTGGCGGGTGCCGTTTGTCGGGCGGAGTCTTCGAAAGTGCTGCCTTAAATCTTTGACGTATTCGGCCGCGTCGCCTTCTGGGAGTGCTCTTGAAGCCAAGAACTCTCCGGGCAACCGAATTGACTCGCCGTAGAAAAGGTCGGCTGTGGTCGCTCCCAAATCCTCTCGCCACGGATGCCGAGCAGCACGGTGGGAAGAACCTTTGTCCATTGGTCCTTCTCGTGGCACTTGATGGCTGCCTTGAGCTGTCGATGTAGTCGCTTTATCATCCCATTAGCCGCTGGGTGATACGCTGTTGTCTTGAGGTGCGCTACTCCGTAGCGCGCTAAGCTGCCTGAATAGCTGCGATTCAAATTGTCTCCCCTGATCGGTGGTGATGCGGAGTGGGGTGCCGAATCGAGCTATCCAGCCCTCGTAGAAGGCACGAACGACGGTGATGGCCTCCTGGTCCACGAGCGGTATCACCTCTGGCCATCGAGAGAATCGGTCGACGCAAGTCAGGCAGTACCTGTAGCCTTCCGAGCTGGGCATGGTGATGAGGTCGAGATGGACGTGCTCGAACCTCGATAACGGTGGTGCGAAGGTACCGCACGGCGCCGAAACATGTCGAGTTATTTTTGATCGCTGGCACTCTATGCAGCTTCTTGCCCATCTTCGACAGTCGGATTTGATTGACGACCAAACGAATCGTTGTGTAACTAGCTTGACGGTCGCCTTGATCCCTAGATGCGCGAGCTGATGTACCGATTCGAATGCCGCCCGGCGGAACTGTTCGGTGACGAACGGTCTTGCTGTTGTTGAAGACACGTCGCAATACACACTCACCGGTGTCCCCGGTAATTGCACCCTTTTTATCTGCAGTGCCGAGTTCCCATTAAGGTAGATTTTTAACTCGTCGTCGGTCTCCTGTGATGTTGCCAGAGCTTCGTAGTCCAA